ACCACTGCTTACGTTTGCCGCTCCATGAGCTAGGAGCTAGGGGAAAGAGGTGAATGAGGTGTGGACAAAAGCTGTGGTTAGTTGTGGGTTGGTGAATCGCTGACAGACACAAGATGAGAGAGAGAAGGAAGAAGTGTCCTTGTAAGTCATGGGTATTGCAGGATGGAGAAAAGAAAAGCTTTTGTTGCGCTGCTTAACTGTGTGCTTTCAGTTCCATGGAGGAAACTTGCATCTTTGCCTCTCTAGTGGAATAAATATGGAAGGGCAGAGAGTAGGGTTGCCAGGTGTCCGGTATTGACCCAGATAGTTCGGTATTTTCTGGCTTTTTCCTTGCCAGGAGGCGAAAATCCCAGGTGCTTACCTGGTTCCGCAGGGGAGCTGTCTGGCCCGGAGCGGGAATACAAGATGGCGGATGGCCGCCAGCAGCTTGTTAGGGTCAAAAAGCCTCAAAATCATTTCTTAAAGGGGCCGTGCTGGGTTTGGGAGGAAGGGTGTATAGAGTTTCATGCTCTGCAAAATAGAGCTTTTTAAAAAAATGTACAGGGATTCTAGTCTTGCTTGAATACATACACCCCTCCTCCCAATCCTGATAGAGGTCTATACAATCATTTAAATGGTGTGGAGAAAGTAAATAAGGAAAAGTTATTTACTTGTTCCCATAATATAAGAACTAGGGGCCACCAAATGAAAATAATGGGCAGCAGGTTTAAAACAAATAAAAGGAAGTTCTTCACACAGCACACAGTCAATCTGTGGAACTCCTTGCCTGAGGAGGTTGTGAAGGCTAGGACTATAACAGGGTTTATAAGAGAACTAGATAAATTCATGGAGGTTAAGTCCATAAATGGCTATTAGCCAGTATGGGTAAAGAATGTCCTTCGCCTCTGTTTGTCAGAGGGTGGAGATGGATGGCAGGAGAGAGATCACTTGATCATAACTGTTGGATTCACTCCCTCTGGGTACACTTGGCATTGGCCACTGTTGGCAGACAGGATGCTGGGCTGGATGGACCCTTGGTCTGACCCAGTATGTTCTGTATTCCCACGTGATGTTGTACAAATAATAGTCTTATTTTTTACTGACATTACGTGCCTCCCATGTTTTGCATGTGTGTTTGTTACCAGAGACATTAGGACACTGTATTAAAAAGACCCAGCTATCTGTTTGGGTCCCTGAAAACTTTTGATTTCGATTGAATGAACTATCTTTTTTTCTCTCTCTCCCCCCATCACAGAGGAACAGTATGAGAGAAGAGAACAAAGAGTTGAAACGTGAACGGCAATCATTAGCATTGTATGGCATCATTCTAATGATCGGCAGAAAGTGCATCGGAAAGTGCCCCTTGGGATGGGTGGGGCAGGGAGATAAGGGAAAATGAATCTTTGTTTTAATTGCATTTTGTTCTGTAAACCTGTTTTGTTTTGTTTTTTAAGATTCCCTACTTTTACCATGATATCCCACTCCCAACAATCCCTATTGCATTGTCCTGGCAATTACAGCAATTTCTAAGTCCCCTGTAATGTCGGAGATGCTTATCTTTTCTGTCACTAGCCTCTGAATCTCATTTCCCATTGAGGGCACATCCTCCAAACAGCTGATGGAAGAGAGATTTTTTTTTGTATTCTCTAGGATACATTTGGGGATTTGGCTTGAAGATGTGGGCTGCCACAAAGTATCATAAACCACAGAACACTATCTACCTGAGGAATTTTAAGAACTATTCCAAACTATCACTATATTGATAGAGAAGTTATTGCACCGTGCCTATCTCCAGCAACATCAGTCAGGAATTCCTGACTGGAAGTGCCAGTGCAAAATATTTAGAGCTTTTAGAACACTGGCCCCCTGTCACAGTGGCAATAGTAAAAGAACTGGAAGGAGTAGTTATTTTAGTGCATGGTAAAATCCAACTTAGGCTTTAACATTATAAGCTTGGAAATCTGGATGCTTCAGGATGTCATGCTGCTGTATTACTCACTGAGAGAATGGAGATGTGTGTGTTGCCCATTACTGATTTTCTAAATCTTGAGTATGGTTAGCATGTACTTTGCATTCTATCTGCTCATAGCACAGCATGTGATGCAAAATGATACCACATGCCCAGTTAGTGCATAGCTTCTGTTCTCTTCTAGCGAATCAACAATTATTTTAAGTGGGGACTTAAAGTACCTGTGGGCAACTAATATTTTGCACAGCCTGTGAGTAATGGAAGAGAGCAGGCATTCCGCAGCCAACACATTTAAATATAGTTTATGGCTTTAAGAACTTCACTGTACTTTGTGTCAGCTCTCATTATATTTTCTACTGCATATGCATGATTTTAAAAAATGCAGTTAACAGTTATTTGGCTAAGAACATTTCACCATATGTCATTTGTTCCGCTAGCAAGTGCTGGATTCAGAAAAGAGGGCTTAGGTACTTTTTTCAGCGGTACTATAAATTAAATTGATACATGAGACCGAAGGAACACACAGCATGTGTCCAGAGTTTGATGCTCTGCAAAATAGAGCTTTTTAAAAAAATGTACAGGGATTCTAGTCTTGCTTGAATATGTACATTCTTCCTCCCAATCCTGAAATTAGCACTGACTGGCTTAAAAAAAGAAGAGTGAAAGGAGACTGTATTTGGCACAAATCCATTGATTGGAATAGGGCCCTTACATTTCACACTGCTGTAACTGTGCTCCCTGTACATATATTAACAGTTTGATGGCTGCTGGCATTTGCAGGTTGATGAGAAATATTGATGGGATGAACACCCCCGCTTCCCTCCCACCTCCCCCAGATTTGTCTGTGGGAGTGTGGCCACTAGCAGTGCCTGACATCTTCTAATAAGCTGCTTTTGTGTACTCCAGCATTGAAAAGCTTGGGGCGGCAGGAGGGGGAACTGTCTGCACTTACTTCCCAAAGCAATGATAGAGAACATGGGGTGGGGCTTCAAAGACTTATGGGTTTCCGTTTGGAGCCTAGTAGATATTTCACTTGGCGCATGATCAGTTTTGAAAGAAACTAGGTTTCCAATTAAATCAGTCCTTCTATTTCCCATTAAAACGGCACCAGGATTGTATGATACTTGCTGTGTTGGTCCAGAATACATTTTGGACATCCCTTCCTCTATCCCTAGATGCCTCTATGCCTCTGTCCTTTTCTATTTCTGTTAGCTTGACAGAAGGTATCTGCAGGGCCCCACATGGATTCCATCCCTAATTGTTATTTTCCTGCTGTCCCTACATTTTTTTCCGGCTGATTCCAATTGCTGCAGTCAAAGGACCAGCAGATTGTGGATCTGCATGATGTACGTACAGTGTGTTTCATTATCAAATGATTTCTCTTTAAATAGCCTGTCAAGATCAACATAGTAAATAACAATAATGTTAATCTTGGGACTGTGTGTCCTGTTTAAAAAGGCAAGGATTCAAGGACACTCTTTGTCTGGCCGTGCTAGGGAAACTTCCCCATAAAGCATTTGGAAGTTCAGTTGGTGTAAGCTTTCTGATGCCTCGTGGAAAATGGTGGGGGGCCCGATCCTCCGCTAATATTTAAATTGTCACAGCTCCACGGAGTGCAGCTGAGGTAGGGCCGCGCTCCATAGGATCTGGTATTATGTATTTAATTGAAGAGTTGTACATCTGTGATTGTCCCAGTCTTCTAAGTACAACACTAGAGAACTGCAGACTGCTGTTAGCTGCGTATCCCGAGCCCCTCTCACATTCGCGAGATTCAGGCTCAGACAAGATCAGCTCCAGAGACGGATTAAAGAGGTGTGTTCAAAATATACAGCGAGACAAGATGGTCCTTAAATTCCTTAGCAATAGTGACAGATATTAAAAATAATTAACTGCAAAAATACTTCAGGTTAGAGCAGTTCTCCTTCTCACCTGTGACAGTAATTTCATTGCCACCCTCATTTAACCTTGGTTCTCTTTAACAGCAGTGAATCTTTGGAACTGTGGAACTTTCGCCTGAGGTCTCTGCAGCAAGTGTGAAGCACAGGCAGGAAGCGTAGAGCAAGAAAATGTATGAATTGATTAAATCTTAACAGGCCAATTTTCAGTCATGACTGTGTGGCTCAGTTTTCTGGCTTTTTTGTTCATGTGACTTTGGGGTTGCATTTGTTTAGAATTTTTTTTTTAAATAAGACAATAAATAAAATGATGTACGGAAATTTAGACAATATGATTCTGAGCTCTTCTTTTATGGCTGGACCCTGAATGCAACCACTTTTGATTTTTTTTTTTTTTTAGAGCTAGAGAAGCAGAAAGTAGTCTCTGTAGAAAAATATATATCAGAAATGGATTAATGCCCCTGTAATGGGTTTAGGTTAATAACTAAAATTTTATCACAGTATGTTCTGTGTAGAAAATAGAAGCCCTAAATTAGCGGTGTTTGCATACAAAGTATTAGAATGTGCTTTCGATGTTCCAATTAAAAAACTCCCCTGCTCATTCTAGAATTAGGAGCAACAATCTATTGTTCCTCCAGCTAGTGATTGCTCTGATGCTGGACAAGTTTCCTTTCATACAGGCTTACAGAGGAGATGTCTGAGACACTGTCTGTAATATTGGGTCACATATTATTCACTACAGCTAATTGTAAATCTTTCTATGATGCACTGAAAAGCCTCTTTGTGAATTAACACTGTTCTGCTTTATGCATTTGATTAAAAAAGATATTTCTCTATATGCAGTGCATGTCTGCTTTGCTTTTAAAATTACAAAGTTAGCAGAATATGTTGGATCTATTTTCTTGGGAAACAGGGGTTTTTATCATATGATTCATCAAGGATTTGCCTTACCCTAACATTTGTGATATAAAGGAAAGTCAGAAAAATGTAATTTTCTTGATCAAAAATATGTTTTTACTTAAATGCAAATAAAAGTAGTCTGTTGCTTGCAAAATATCTGATATAATGGCTAACTAGTTAACACATGCCTCTTTTGTTAATTTGACATTTAAATGCTGAATTTGCTTATGAATTTGTTATTTTTTCTTTTGTCTGTGCCATACATCTGAAAACTTAAACTAATGATGCCTTCATACTACAATGTTTGTTAAAGCAAAATGTTAATAAAACTTGTTCTGAAGACAAGACTGCATTGTTTGTGTTTTCCTAACTGCTGATCATGCAACAGTCAATTTTGTGATTAATAATGCTCATTTCAGATTTTGAATTTCTTGCTGTAACTGTGCACGTTAGATTCCTGATTTAAATGTATCTGTCATCTGCTAGTTTCTTGTCAGAAACAGATAAAGATGAAGGATTTTATTTTTGGAAGGCAATAATCAGTGGTAGAATGAAAGCTTTTCAGCTTAAAGTGGGAAAAAGTTGATCAGTTTAATCATATTACTAAACTAGAGGCTTTATAAAAATCTGGGAAGATATACAGAGCCTGGTCATGCTACAATTTTGCAGACCTTTTAAACGACTATATAACATACAAAGGTAACATTTCACATCCATTTCACACTATTGTAAATGTCAACACAAGATACAGAGTAATGGAGAATCAGGCCTACTAGAGAAGAGGCAAGATTTTCATTAATAAATAGTGATTTTAAAAGCCTGATTTTGAGAGTACCAGTGTTCAACATATTCTTAAAATCTGATCACTTTAAGGTATCTGAAATTGGGCACCAAAATCACTAGTTAAGGGCAGGGCTGGCGGTGGATTTTGCTGGGCCCTGGGCAATGTGTGTGTGGGAGGAGGTTTTGCTTTGGGCCCTCCCAGAAAGGTCGACCAGCCCTCAGCATTGCCCGAACCATGTTGCGCCTCCCCCATCCAGCCCTCAGTGTGCCCTAGACCATGATGTGCAGGGCTCCAGTGGTGATTTAAAAGGCCTGGGGCCCCGAGCCCCAGGTCTCTTTACGTCACCAGGCCTCAGGGCAACTGCCTCGCCTCCTTCCCCCGTTGGTGATATGATGCCACATATTTTACAGAAAACAGTGACTATAGAAATATTTTATAGAAGGGATGTTTATTGATGGGATTTTTTTGTATCACTCCACCTGTAAGCACTGGCTGAGTAACAGTGAATCAGATTTCACTGGGGTAGCCATGTTAGTCTGTATCTGTAAAAACAATGAGAAGCCCTGTGGTACCTTAAAGACAAAAATGTGTTAGTCTTTAAGGTGCAATGGGACTCCTCATTGTTTTTAATGAAGCAAACTACTCAGAACCTTCAAAATCTAAAAGGAAGTGCCATTATTGTGAAACTGGGAAGTCTATTTCTCCAAGTACATAAGTTATATGTTATTAAATTATATTTTTGAGAAAAAGAACATTAAATCCATCATTTATGAAATGCCAAATTATTCATTCCATACCTTTGGTAGGTATAATCTTCAGAGAGAAGCTCCACTTTTGTGATAGTAAGAAGGAAGCAGTCCTCTACCAAGGTAATTTTATAGAAATGACAGACATTTATTTGAAATTACCTCATAGTGTAGACCTACCTGAAGCAAAGGCAACCTAAGTTACGCAACTCCAACTATGAGAATAACCTAGTTGGAGTTGCCATATCTTAGACTGACTTATTCCAGTGTCTATACCACACTGGGTCAGCTTACCTTAAGCTTCTCATTCTGTTAAAGTACCAGAGTCGACAGGAGCATGTTCAGCAGTTGATTTAGACCCACTAGATTTAGACCTTCACTAGATTCACTAAATCAACCCCCTGTGGATTGATCACCGCAGCATCAATCCACCAGTAGAGGAAATATACCCTTAGGAGTTTGGAACATGCCAAGGTCTTCCAGTAGAGCTGGATTGTTGAACATCATTTGGTGAGACAGGGAAATAGATAAATGTACTTTATCACATCTGCAATTAATTATACAAGTCTGCAATTTGTCTCAAGCTGTCACCTCCACACCAATTATGTTGACATAAGGAGGAGGTAAAAAAAATGTGGCTGAGCTAGCATTTTTCTATTGCAGTTTTGTAAACCTGATATTCAAAATGTTGACAATGGAGTTCTCTAAGTGTTTGTAAACTATTGAGTGTCAAAGGTGAGGTGCTATGGCCAAGACCCTCAAGGATATTAGACACCTAACTCTAACTCATTTCAGTGGAGGTTAGGTACGTAAATACGTTTAAGGAATTGGGCCTAAATATCTCCTGTGATATACAGACACCTTTGTGTCCCACATGAATTAAAGATGTTCAACTCCTGTATGGTAGCCAGAGTCTTCTAGTAATGTTACATGTGTAGGTAAACCAGTCTCTTCAAGAACAACTGCTCCAAAAACAAGCAGAGAGTACTTTTAAAATTGGTGTTGATTTTTTTTCTCCATGTAGTAGAAAACCATGCACACAAATGCATGCTTGTAAAGATGTCTTTTTAACCTTTATCCATTTCTGGAGGTGAAAGCTGTACTGCGGGATTTTAATGAGTCTTGTATCTCCTTTTTTCTTAAATAAAAATATCAAGAGACATTTAAATACCCAGACACCATGTTCCACTAGAATGATCAACAACACTTCCCGATGAGTGGCAAATCACTGTTAATTTCTTTGGAATTCACACTGATAAAACATTAATCATCATGAATGTCTCTGGAGGAAAAAAAGTGCCTATTAAAATGCAGCCAGTAGAAGCGGGACAAAGCCCACTGTAAAGCAGAAGATGTGCATGGGGGGGTGTAATCCCAATGGGTGAGTACTGTAAGTGGACACTGTTGACTTCATTGGAAAGTGTGCACACCTGAAAAATAAGGCCTTGGATGTTGCTGCTGTTTCTGCAGTGGGCAGCTGTAGCCACATGTTTCTGATGGAAGACTGAAATGGCTTCTCCTACACCCTGGGTGAGGACGCTTGGGTGTGGAGGTCAGCTGTGCTCAAAGCACACCTAGCTGAGCAGGCCAATGCAGGTGAGACAGCTGGAGCAACCCATATCTTCACATGGTTTGAGCATCGCGGTGGAGTTCAGTTGGGAGATATGCAGGTAACTGCATCGGTCTGGCAATAATTGTAGAAACTTAGGCTATGAGGAAACTTTTACATTGAAAATTCAGACACTGAGTAATTTCAGGTGTTTGTTATATTGTGGATCATCATAAATCTAGGAGTTAGGAGCCTAAATCCTATTCTGGATCTAGTCCTTATTGCCTACAGTAAGCTCTGGATCTGGCCTTCTATGCTGTTTGCCTTACCTCTGTAATTGCATTCATTCATAGACCTTCATTCATTCACAGACCTGGCTCCACAAAGTAATTTTTAACAGTGCCATTTTACACAGCGGTAAGTACAGCAAAGGCCATCAGTGGAAAAAGACTGACAGAGAGATAACAATACTGGTGAAGCTTTTCTGAATCTATATGGCGATTCTTGATCCAAGGTAAGGATGTCTCACAATAGTTCTCATGAGGGCTTTGACATGTAGCAAATGTAATGGGACATGAGGTGGGCATGATGGAAAGTTGCTGATAAATTATTCTTGCACACTCTGGTTGTGTCGGTGCGTATCATCTGGAAGTGATGTCGTAGAAAGCATGGGATGATAATTAGTGATTAGATGATCTAGATGGAGTGAATGAGACTTCTCAGCTGTTCCCCTCACCCATCTTTCTCTCTCCTGGAAATGGTTACGTTTTCAAATTGATAATAATGCATGTGAAAAGCCCTGAATTTAGGGCTATTTCAATGAGAGCGGAAGGTGCTCAATTCCTCAACAAATCAGGTGATTACCAATCCTAAGGTTCCCTGGGGAACCACTGTCACAGAGTGTGGGGGAGTCACTGGGCCCTGCACAGACGTGACTGTCAGCAAGTAGAACAGAACGTTTATTCGTTGACAGGGACACACTTGTTAACTCAGGAACCAGAAGCAGTCAGCACAACCCACCTTGGAGAGAGGGGGACCCAGGACCAGCGCCCTAGGCCCCCACCCTGCATTTGCTGCCAGCCGAGAGGACTCACACACTCAGCAGCCTGTCCCAACCCTGCAGGCAGCCCCACCTCCTCCTTTGTCTCGCTTCAAAAGGTGACTCTTCCCCGTAGGCTCAAGTTATAAGACTGCCTGAGCCAGGCATGTCCAAAGTCCGGCCCGCAGGCCAATTGCGGCCCGTGTTCCGATTTAATACGGCCCCACAGGTAATTTGGCAATATCTATCTTTTATGGCCCCCAATGAATCCATATGTATTGAGATGAATACATTGTAAAATCTCAGTTAAAGTCAGTTGGTCTAAATCAGTTATAAATATATTTGGACACAACATGTATACTTGGTGTTATGTTCCTGTTCATATTTTTTGAACTTAAAAGTTGACAGACAACCTTTATTACCAATAATATGTAATGTACTTTACAATGTTCCTGACATATATTTCAGCTTCCTGGATTTTTTTTTTCATCTGGCCTTCAGATATGAAAGGCAGAGTGATTTAACACCTGTTTAGATTTGTCATCCATGTGACGAAATGAAAAGTATGCCGTTTGCAATAAACTTTGCATAAAATAGTTAATTTGCATTTAATTTTAATGGTTCAAAGAATGTCAGGCAAAATGGTCGGCCCTCACGCATGTTCACTTCTTCAAATCTGGCCCTCTTTGAAAGAAGTTTGGACACCCCTGGCCTGAGCTATCGTTGTGTATGTGCTAAGATGAGGCAGCCTCCCCTGCAGTGAGAGCCACACCCAGCATTCCCATCCCCAGCCAGGTACCAGTGCAGTGCCCAGGGAAACTGAGGCATGCACACATACAGAGTTATTACAGAACAGCACACAGGGAGCACAGTCCCCACTACGTCACACCACCATAAAGCGTAAGCTCCTTAATAATCCTTTGAAATGCCTCCTCTAGATTGTGCTTGCTCCATGCTCATCTAGTCTTTGTCCTCTCCACTGGGCAAAGGAATCAGCTGCTATGGTGGCTTTGAGAGCTGGAACGCAGACTGTGAACACCAGCTTGTTCCACGTACGTCTACAGGGAGAGACGCTGGATGGAAATATCTTTTGCCTGCTGCCCTGAGGATGTATGTGAAATGGTAACCTCTGGTTAAAAAGTTCTTTATCCCTTTTTTCCCTGGAGTCCCTAGGAATTATCTTTTTGAAGTAGGATGGAAGTAATTTTCATGTGTCAGAGACAGAGAATATGATCAAAGAGTTAATCCAATTATCAATCAGTAAGAAATAACAGAAAAGATCCTTGAGCCATCTGGCCAATCAGAGGGGTGTCATGAAATTAAACTCCCTCTGCTAACCTTCCAGTCATGTCATGCGATCTCAGCACCAGAACAGGATTTAGTTTTATTTTTGCAGAGGAAAAGCAAGTCAAAGAGCCACCAGCTGCTGATATGAAATAGATTACCAATTCCCCAAATACCAGCCTCTCCCAGACTTCTCCTATAAAAGGCTGTGACTGACTACCGTCATGGAACTTGCTTGGTGACACACCCCTGCAGCAACTGAAAGCGACAAATATCAATGCCTTCACTGAGTGTTTCTCTGTGTGTGGTTCTTCCAGGAGCAACTGCAGGTGCATTACCAGCATGAGAATCCTTTTGGGCAGGAGACAAGAAGATGATCTGATGTCCTTAGTTAGTTAGTCTACACAGCACGGCTATTCTGAGATACCCGAGTTACTGAGTCTACCCCGTGTCTAAACAAGCCACCCGTTTTTTCAAAATATTTCGCCGTCCCAGTAAACCTTGTTGCATGAGGTTAAGGGATGGCTCGAAATAGTGTGTTATTTTGAAATTTGGTGCTGTGTATATGGGCCAAATTTCAAAATAAGGTATTTCAAAAAAGATTCAAAATAAGATATGCAGTTTGCATAGCACAAATTGCAGATCTTATTTTGAGTTTAGGGTACTGCGTAGATGCACCCTTACTTAGTTAGTTAGTTAGTTAGTTAGTTAGGGGGAGGACAGCATCCAACTAACTAACTAACTTTTACTGATGCTGTGTACTCTGGCCATTAACACAGTCCTTATCCCTCTACTGCTACTCTTTTGGCAGCACATATGCTAAAACTGGAATGATACAGAGAAGGTTACCAGGGCCCTGGTTCAAGGATGGCAAGCACATTCATGAAGCAGTCCATATTTGTTATTGCTCCTGCCTTCCACATTATCTCTGCCTCTTTTTTAAATTGAAGTATATGTAGAAGCTTTGCTTCCACAGATTCTCTTCTCTTGGCTTTTCTCTTTGTTTCTTCTGACTGTGATGAAGCCTGTTGAACAAGGGCTAGACAGGAATAGCAGACACCATGTACGTTTTTATGAATGGCCATGTGACAGGGCACCACTCAGTCCTCAGTACACTTCCCTCTCCTCTGCTGAACAGGTGCTCAAAGAACAGCCTCTAAAACCATTGCATGGGACACCAAGGTGGAAGAAAAAGCATTGGGGGAGACAGGGCTCCATAGTGCGCGTACTTGGCTGCCCCCAAGTTGGGGGATATTTTGTGACTGTATCTTGCTTTCTTGTCATAATCATTTTCCCTTGATGGAAACCACTTTGCTCCTGTAGATACTGTTTTCTGATTAATCATTCCTCTCGTCCTTTCCATGCCACTTGTTCATTGGCTGAGTTCACTGAACCCAGATTTGTACCAATATCTTCAGACAAGAAAAACTGGTGCATTCACTGCCTACCCCTTCTAGCTCCCTCCTGTTACTTCCTTGTAAATCCTGTCCAATTTTGAAGCACTGGGATTGCCAAAGGCAGGGACACATGGTGTGTCCCCAGCAAAAGGGCTGAGGAACTGCCATTTCAATGGAGCACAATGTATTCTGAATGCCCCTAAAACTAACAAGCAGATAACTCCAAAAGTTAAAAGAGCAACAGTATTAATGCTGCTTCACTTGCAAAACAAAGTCAAGAAGAAAACCCACAATTTAAATAAAAGGCTTTATAGGAAATATATGTATCTCCCATATCACTTATTTTTGCATTGCTTACTAATCTATTGCCCTCCGTATTAGTCACCAGCCTACATGTTCCGTGTGCAGTTGCTCCTGCCCTTTCATCGTTTTCCCATGCATCTATGCTTTTGAACTCTGAGCATTTTTGAGCGCTGCCTTTATTTTGATTTTTTTTTTCAAATAATTGTCCTGTTTAAAATGATGTGATGGATAAAACTGCCAAGAAAATCGATCCAAGGCATTTAGCACCAAACTACAACAACAAGGTTTGAAAAAAAAGAGTCTATTCCTAGAGAGAGAAAATAATCCTCTCTGAGTAATTGCCATTTAAATGAAAGGACTAAAACAAAATGAGATACCGAAGATGGATTGGCCTGCACACAAATCAGCCTTTTCAAGAATGCACAAAAAATGCTTTGTGTTGCGATAAAATAGTTACGATGGAGTGGAGGGCAGGCTCAGAGGAAGAGAGGCAGAGGTTGGGTAGATACATGTAGCACTGTGAAGTGGTCTGGATTTTAATGATATTCCATTCAATAACCAGCCCTGCAGCACAGCTGGGGCGGTGAGACAACATGAGAAACGTGACTGGTTTTGTCTGTAAGGAAGGGAACTCCTTAGTACATTCCAAAAGCTTTGCTCTTTGGTCTCCCTCTATCCCCCTTTTCTAAATTAAAAATTGGGGGGTTACTTTCCCTTTTACTTCCTGTGATTAGAAAAACTCAGGCTCCTATTTCCTATCACAATATCCTGAACAAACACCCTCAAAATTAGCAAACAAGGTCCAGGCGTTTTAGATACTGCTCATTCGTCACTTGGCACTAGCTAGTGGGTTTTAGCCACAGACACTCATGATCAGGGCTAGATTACCCAATAGGAAAGCTAAGCACGTGCTTAGGGCACCAGCAAAGCAGGGGCACCAAAAAAAAAAAAAAGAGATTTTACAGTATAGTCTTGTTATTATTTTGAATTACATATGGGGGGGGGCGCCATAATCTTTTCAGTGCTTAGGGCCTCTAAAGGTCTTAATCCGGCCCAGCTCATGATCCTATATATTTTTGTTAGGCTCTCAGCCCTGGTCTACACTAGGGGCTCATCTACACTGGCCCCTTTTCCGGAAGAGGCATGTAAATTTCATGAGTCGTAGTAGGGAAATGCGCGGGGGATTTAAATATCCCCCGCGGCATTTAAATAAAAATGTCCGCCGCTTTTTTCCGGCTTTTAAAAAAGCCGGAAAAGAGCGTCTACACTGGCCCCGATCCTCCAGAAAAAGCGCCCTTTTCCGGAGGCTCTTATTCCTTTGAAGTAGGAATAAGAGCCTCCGGAATTCGAACTAGGAAGCCTAGTTCGAACTACCTAGTTCGTGCCCCGTGTAGCCACGCGGCATGGGGTTCGAACGAGC